GGTGACAGTCTGGGGTCCTGTGAGTCCCTCCCCGATATGTCCCCGAGCAGGGGGGAGCCGGGAATCTGCAGAGCAGAGAATGAGGCTGCTGAGCATCAGTTAGAAAGAACTCCCTGCCTTTATTTGCACGGTCATGGTCATCCTTTTTTTATTTTTATTTTTTTTTCTTGCATTGCTTAAGTCCGGAGCTCTTTTTTGCAGAATTGTCCCCGGGCTGCTGGGGAAGGTGACAGTCTGGGGTCCTGAGCCTGCAAGGGTGGGGGGGGAAGGCCAGAGGGAGGAGGAGGAGGAGGCTGCTGTTTTATCCCTGCGGCCGTTGTTGGTGGCCATTGGGCTCAGTCTCCAGTTCATTGTCATCGCTGTTCAATGTCAAGTGCTTGCAAAGCAGATGCCCTTATTTCTCTGCCTCTGCTGTGACCCCAATCGCTTTTTATGGGTTTGTTTTTTTTTTTTTTTTTTGGTTTTTTTTTGGTGACTGGGAGTCTGAGATTTCCACAGCTGCGGGTTGGCGGCTGTTTTTTTTTTTTTTTTTTTTGGTTTTTTTTTGGTGACTGGGAGTCTGAGATTTCCACAGCTGCGGGTTGGCGGCTGTTGGGCTCAAGTTCATTGTCAGCGCTGTTCAATGTCAAACTGCTAGCGGATAGCACATCCCTCCGCCTCCTCCGCTGTGACTCAGTCCGTTTTTATGGTTTTGTTGTTGTTGTGTTTTGGTGAGTAGGAGTCTGCGATTTCCATAGCTCTGTTGGTGGCTGCTGGGCTCAGTCCCAAGTTCATTGTCACCGCTGCTGTTCAGTGTCAAGTGCTTGCAGATGCCCTTGTTTCTCTGCCCCTGCTGTGACCCCAGTCTCTTTGTATGGGTTTTGTGGTTGTTTGTTGTGGTGGTTGTTTTTTGGTGACTAGGAGTCTGCAATTTGCATAGCTGTGAGTTGGTGGCTGTTGGGCTCAAGTTCATTGTCACCGCTGTTCAATGTCAAGTGCTTGAGGATAGCACATCTCTCTGCCTCTTCTGTGACCCCAATCTGTTTTTATGGTTTTTTTTTTTTTTCTTCTTCTTCTTGTTGTTTTTTGGTGACTAGGAGTCTGCAATTTCCATAGCTGCACGTTTGCTGGCTGTTCGGCTCAAGTTCACTGTCACCGCTGTTCAATGTCAGCACATCTCTCTGTCTCTACTGCGGCCCCAATCTGTTTTTATGGGTTTTTGTTGTTGTTGTTGTTGTTTTTTGGTGACTAGGAGTCTGCGATTTCCACAGCTGTGAGTTGGTGGCTGTTGGGCTCAGTCTCAAGTTCATTGTCATCGCTGTTCAACGTCAAGTGCTTGCAGATAGCACATCTCTCTGTCTCTACTGCGACCCCAATCTCTTTTTATGGGTTTTTTGTTGTTGTTGTTTTTTGGTGACTAGGAGTCTGCGATTTGCACAGCTGTGAGTTGGTGGCTGTTGGGCTCAAGTTCATTGTCACCGATGTTCAATGTCAAGTGCTTGCGGATAGCACATCTCTCTGTCTCTACTGCGACCCCAATCTCTTTTTATGGGTTTTTTTTTGTGTTTTTTTTGTTGTTGTTGTTTTTTGGTGACTAGGAGTCTGCGATTTCCACAGCTGTGAGTTGGTGGCTGTTTGTCTCAGTCCCAAGTTCATTGTCAATCACTGTTCAATGTCAAGTGCTTGCAAATGCCCTTGTTTCTCTGCCTCTGCTGTGACCCCAATCTCTTTTTATGAGTTTTTTGTTGTTGTTATTGTTGTTGTTTTTTGGTGACTAGGAGTCTGTGATTTTCATAGCTGTGAGTTGGTGGCTGTTGAGCTCAGTCTCAAGTTCATTGTCACCGCTGTTCAATGTCAGGTGCTTGCGGATAGCACATCTCTCCGTCTATACTGCGGCCCCAATCTGTTTCTTTGGGTTTTTTTTTGTTGTTGTTGTTGTTTTTTGGTGACTAGGAGTCTGCGATTTCCACAGCTGTGAGTTGGTGGCTGTT